GAGTATATATACAAAACCTGCAAATAGAATAGGGGAGAGAAGTTAGGATCTTCTCTATCAATATCTTTCCAAAAGACAAGCTCAGTTTCTGCTTCATGGCGGCTCTTGGAGCCAAGAAACTCGGACAAAGTAACCGGCATTCGGGCCTCAATAAGTCTGATGCCACTGTCGTTTGACACAATCTCCAGTCGTTTATCACCGTCGGCAGCACTGCGGGCTTCCGTCTTCCGAAGCCGTCCACAGAAAATAGGTTGCTCCAACAAAGCTTTTCCTAAGGATTCCTTGATCCAGCCGGCGTGAAGCCAGCCGGAGTCCTCTTGACATGCTCGGTTGTAGTAAAGAAGGACGTTTAGGCAGCCTCCGAGGATGTCGGAACCGAAAGGATCGCCGGATCCGGCGGTGGACACACCGCGGACCTGCCGCGGATCGGTGAGCTTTGAAGGTGACACGCTCAGTAGAGCTTCAATCTGTAAGTTGGGTATGGTATTTGTGTAGTTTCCCATACTTTTGGCCAGGTTGTGTAAGGACTAGTTTGTTCAGAAAGGTGGATTTATAGGCCACAAAATTACCACACATGTAATTGTTTTTCAATAATTTACAGCCTGCAGTAAGGGACTTAGGGGTAAAAAAAATAAAAAGAAAATAATTAAAAAGTCAGGCAAAACACTAAAAATCAACGCCACATATTTGATAATAAGATTATTCTCTTTTTATCCCCAAGCTTTACACATATCTCTATTCCAACCCTTAAAAATTCCATACTTCGTTACTCAAGCTTACTTGACCTTCTCTTTTAGAATTTTCAATTAAAACTAACACTAAAGTCTCATTCATTTTATCGATTTTAGTTTTCAGTTTTAAGTTTCTATAGTTAAAAATTATCAGAAAATGTCACATCTAACTTTTTCTCCTACAGTTAAAAGTTATTAGAAAATGTCACATCTCAACTCAAATTAAAAACTCGAATCCGCGAAGGGAACGAGGCCAAACAGTACTACAAATATAAAAGATTTTAGAAACTTTGAGTCTTTATCTCCTTGGAATAAAAGAATATCAACACTCAGTGGAATCCAATCCTAATGCTTCACAAACAGCGCCAACCTACGGC